GATGGGAGGAAAGAAGTTCCGTTCTGATGAAGAGGTACAGCAGGCGGTGCATGAGTGGTTGCGCAGACAACCACAAGAATTTTTTTCTAGAGGAATCCATACACTTCGTAAACGCTGGAGGGCCTGTATTGAACGAAATGGAGACTATGTAGAAAAATGATATAGTTGCGTACTGCTTTCATTCAATAAATTAAATTAATTTTTTTTTCGGTTTTCATTTGACTCACCCTCGTACATAGGCCTACACACACAAACACGGGTATGGACCAGACCACGAAGCCAACAGCTGAAGAAGACCATGGAAACACGGATGATCTGCATCCACCATCTTATGTTGTATTATTGCACCACATGTACCTGACTTTATCAGTAAAGCCTAGGGGTCATATAAATTCCTCTTTTGTCTGCCGGACCGCTGGCTAGCAGACAGTGCGCATCCGGAACCTCTAAATTATTCCAAATTAATAGCCTCAGCTTTCTCTAATACACAATTCAGTCTTTTCTGCCAATTATCGCACTAACGTCTTCACTCTTACTTTATCATTAACAGAAGGACGAACGGGCATTGCCTGGGGACCTTCTAATTATAAGATGATCTTTCTCCCCCCCCCCCTGAAATCGAAGTGTCTCTCACTTCTCCCCCACAAATTTCCTCTCTCTCTCTCTCTCTCTTCAAACACGGGTCAGGTGCATAAAGATTGTGCATATTTTATGTGATCGGTACCGGAAGCAGAGAAATAGTAGTTGACATTTCTTAGTATTTGGGACGTCTCAATTTTAAATCTCGGCCTAGAGACCAGGTATCTTTTCACGTGTTTCGTATGTTTCCTCAGGAAGGATATATAGTGCATTGCTCTCTTCCTCCCACATTTTGCATTTGTAATCGTCCATTCATTTATTTTCACACTCATTAGGCCGGTAACTTCAGAATTTTACTTAGTGTCTTCAAATAAATCAAAAAAACAAATGTATGGCATCATACTGAAATGCTACGGGACTTCTGTGCTTAAGGTTACGCATACCGGTAATTAGATGGGCGAACTCGTTTCTTACGTGTTCTTCATGAGAGCACGTAAGCCACGTAGACGCCTGCGTGTTGAGACGACAATTAACTCGGCCGACTGGGAATTCCCTTCCGACTCAACAGCGCCTCGGAAGATGAAAGTACTTGAGCGAAAATATGCGTGACTGCAGAACAGACTTCTGTCATGAGTGTTTGTCATCATTTCACTTGAGCTTATTTGTAACATTTTTGCAGTGTAGACAGGAGTGTGGGTTTTCGTTTTAATATCCGCTACGAAGGAATTAACTGCTTGTACAAAAGTCTATCTAAGCGCCCACCGAGTTCCTGAGTTAAAATGTAATATCCGCTCTCACGTTGTGTGTACAAAACAGGTGTGTGCGGTGGTGGCTTACCTGTCTTGTTGTTAAGGGCATTGATCCGGTACACGGATGTCGTTATTGATACTGTTATGTAACACCCGATGTTACGATAACCCTTTGAAGTTAAAGTTCATATAAATAAAATTTAAAGGTCTATTTCTTTCCGAGAAAACAGCGCGTCGATATCACAGAGGTAAATTGGTTAGGTGATGCTGTTTAAGGAAATTATTGTTTGCCGTGAGAATTATGCGAAACTCATAAGATGAGTAGTTACTGATTTTTAAGAATTGTGTTATGTGGTCGGAATGTGGAAGAGGAAACACACATATTGTTCCAAAAACTAAATTGCCAGTCTGCAACGTAATAATGTACATCACGTTATTTTGTTGAGCAGCATCAGAATGCCTGAGTGCTTGTAAAATATTATTTCCTGTGGTCTTTCATTCGTGTTATTCATAATGTAGAAACTACGTCTCATTTCGAAACGTGACCTCTTCCAACATTAGAGTGTCTTTATAAATCCTGTTCACACAGGCGGTATTATAAGTCCGTAGTAAGACAACGCGGACATACACGAACATTCACGTCTGGCATTACTAGAATGCGCCTTCCCGGGGTGTAGCACTGCAAAACCGCTCGGCTGTTGTTGGATTCGCTGTCTGACCATCTTCTTAACTTGATGAAATTTACACGGTTCGGCTAATCTGTATGAAACCATACTGCAAATTTAATTATGGTGGTCGAGTGTGTCTTGTAAGTTTCATATTATAGGTTTGGGATTCCAAATGTTGGTTATTCAAACTTTACAAAATGCCCCCTTGCAGTTGGTAATTAATTTTCGTGTTGGGGGTAATTAGTTTCTATCAAAAAATATGTTGTGCATGATGGAATTTGAAAGCTTCTTAACTTTCTGTCTTCTATTACTGCACTCCATCACTGTGCGTGGACCAAACATACTGCGCCCGAGACCTGGACAGATGTAATTTCTTTCAATGTCAGGGGTATAGCCCATTTCCCTTCGTTAAGCTTTTACTACTGCAGGGTTATATCCGTTATATATAATTAAACCGCACTGCCCTCTGCTTTTAGTTTTTCAGAGACCCACCTCTCACTGTCTATACCAGTTCGCGAGTGGAAACGAAATTACGTATGACAGTTTGGGTGCAGGACAATAGCACTTTTGCTCTCTTTTGTTAAAATGCGTGAATGTAAAGGCACAAACCACACACGAGAGTAAAAACCCATGAACGTTGCCCTATATTTTTTGCTGCCTGTACTTTGTATCAAAGCAAAGCACGCATTTGCCCTTTTTTTTAGAACTCTAATATTCGTAATATACTATTCGCGCATTCAGTAAAAGTAGTTAGTGGTTTAATTATTTTTCTTATTGGAGTGTCAGGTGGTTTAGGCGTGTATGTATTCATTAGTATCTAGGAAGTAATCCCGACTATAAAAATGATAATCACATTAGCCCTTATCTGGATTTCTTAACTTCCATGCATTAATATTACTTAAATTTTGCAAAATTTTGTATGTCTTCGCATACAAGAATATTTTAGATCATTTGAGGACATTTCTGAGGTGATGCTCAGGTAATGGATTGATTTTCGTGTAATTTTAAGAAGAGATTGTGAAGGAAGCGTCGTTATAAGGACTGAGGAATCAGATACGGTGAACGGGAGGCTTTTTGTATGCGAGTGAATCGATAGTATATAAGAGGTTCGACTAGGAAAGTTTTGCATTGCTGTACAAGTAATTAAGCCAGCAGCATGTGAGTTCATAAACGAAAACCACATCGGCTATTCAACCATGAGCCTCAAATTATTCACGAGATTGTAGACGTGGAATTATAAAACCAGTGAATACAGGATAGACGTTCCCACCAGGAATTCGAACCGCGTACCGCTACTGTTGCACCGCAGTTTTCGATAACAGTCTGTTGTAAGTGCGCTTGGTACCGGTACACATCTTCTTGGTTGAATTGCACCATATTGAGATAGGGGTCTCCAAGTTCAGTTCTTCCCAGGAATATATCTGACGATATGGAAACAGTTTTTTGAAGTAAATACGTCTATACGGAAGGGTCATTCGGCAAAAAAGCGTAACGAAGATGTATAAGATCCATACCAATAATGTGTAAATATGGACCGGCAATGGTCAGCTTTTATATGAACTCCTGCGTGCATAACAATTCTTTACTACTTTACCTAAGAAACTAATTGTTATGTCATCTGTTTACTCGACATTGTTGTGTTTCATTACTGCCGTCAACAATCCGCTTTCATTATTGCGGAAAGAGCTGAGCTGTTAATCGATTGTAGAAGAAGTGCGTCGTAGAGTAGATAATTTTTTGTGCTGGTAAAAACGTTTTAGAATATCACAAGTACTTATCTTATATAAGAATTATTACATTACATTACAGAGACGTATTTACGTCAGATTCTCCGGAACCGTGGTTACACTGTCCATTTTTTTCTCTGTGGTAAAGTTTAATTAAATAAATATACGCCAACGAAACTACGAAAAGGCAGCAGGGTGAGTGATTTGTATTTTTGTGTAGTAACACGTAATGTAGTTTTTCACACCGTCCCCACCAATTAAGCCCTAGATACTTTACAGCAGTACCGAACGAGTGTGTGTAATACATAACACAGTTTCACGTCCTCTTGCTTGCCCTGTTCAAATGCGATAACGTAACCGAAGCCCCGTTTTGTTATTTCTGATCTACCGTAAC